GTTCACTTAAGTGTTGGTATCAAATTTTGGACAAGTTTCAATTATTATTTCACATTCCTTTATTAAAATATCCAAATAAATGGAATATGACATCAAGCTGGAGGACTAGATTCTGTTTCCAAACTTGTTTTTGTAAAAATAGAAAATAACAACTAATTCTGTGTTGTTCTAATAAAAACTATTGTTTTTGATATGCATATTTAATTTTAAAATTACAGTCATTCTTTGTTAAAATGTGTACCAGGAATACTGAAATCTTTCAGATCAGCTACCAATTCCCTTTATAACTTATGTAGCCGAGTTTTTTTTATCTATTTCTGTTCAGATTAAACAAATGATGGGTAAAATATTAGTTTAGATTCTTTAAAAAAAAATGAGCTTGCCTATTTTGAAAGCATAAAAAGCAATAAAATAAAGCAAAAGTACTTATTTTTAATTTAAGACCTTTGGATTGCATAGCTTAATGTTTTCCATTAAATATTACAAAGTTTTCTTTCCTTGAAATGTTGTTTTATCAGCTTTAAAACCAGATAAATCCACGAAGCACTCCTAATATATGTCGCCATATTGATTTTTTCGCGCATGCTCCGTACAAAATGCCCAGCTGTTGAGGAACACCACAAGTCACCGGGGCAGTAGTGGAAAGAGCATGGGTACGAGGTTGTTATTTCATATTCATATTAGAAATATTATAGCAATAAGTAAACATGACAGAGTATAAAGCCAGTAGAACGAAGCGAAGATAGTTTATCTTGATCGTTTTGTTATTGCAAAATATACGTATTTTTATCGAGATTTTCAGGATATTCTTAACACTGTCTGCATATTCTTGAATAATATATTCTTTGTTCATTAATTTCGCATCAATTCTTGCCCTGTTGTCAGCTGAATTCTTTGGTTCATGTTTTCATGTCTGTTTTCAATCTGTTTGCCAGTTTGTTCTGAATTTTGTTCATTTTACAGAAGACCCTTTCGCACTCAGAAGAACTGCTGCGGATAGTGGACAGAACACGACATACTATAGTAAATTGAGGGAAAATTAAACAGATTCCAGGTTCTTGAACTTCAGGAATCTGTATGTACCAAAGACACTTGCCATGCTTTGGATCGAAAATATCAGCTTGAAAACTGATATGCAGTATATGCTTGAAATATGAAGCTTTTCATTCAGTTCAATCTCAGTATTACCTCACCTCACTATTGTAAGGTGTGGAATTACAGGATACCCCGCTATTTGTCTGACGAACTGGAAAGGGTGCAAAAGCGCGCCATGCGGATTATCTTTCCCGGCCACTCATACGATGAAGCCCTCCAATTAGCTAATTGCACAAGACTTAGACACAGGCGAAACGAAACTTGTATAAATACCTTACAGAAGATTGTTAAACGTGCAGGTCCCCATGCTGAACACGTGACACATTCTAAAGATTGTGCTCAACAATATTATATTACAAAGTTAAATAATCTGTCATTGTATAAGCGCAGAACTGAATGTTTTAAAAACAGTTTCTTTCCAAGAGCAATTGCTTCGCTGAATGCCATGAAATAGAGGAAGGAACCTACCTTAGATTAAATGGTTGAACAATTTATATTTGAATAATACCAAATAATAAAAAATAATAATAATAATCATATTGTATCAACGTGTCCCTATCCTAACACAACCAGCGATTCAATGTTATTATTATTATTATTATTATTATTAAAACTTGTTTACAAACAATAACCCTTCAGCCTACGCTGCTTTTAAAGGGGTTGTTTACATAAAAGAAAGTACAAAATAAATATTTACAAAATAGTATAAGTATTTACAAAATAGTGTAATTGACTAGGAGTCTTTACAATTGGATATTTTATCAACGTAGGTGATTGTTGAGCTTAGTTTTAAAAGAATGTATCGTCAACTGTTCGTGAACGTCTAAGATTTCGTTAGGTAATGAGTTCCAGGCGGAAGCTCCTCGATATGAAAATGACTTTTTCATAAATGATCTATTAGGTTTATCGAGAGTTAGTTTCCGCCCGTTGCTCCGCATGTGGTGACTTCTATTATCACAGTAGGAGAACATATTACAGATGCACTCCGGCGCTATACCTCGGATAGCCTTAAACGTAATTAGAAATTCTCTTTTTTTAAGAATGTTATCTATTGGATGCCAACCTAGACTCTGGAGGATTGTTTTTGATCTTGTTTCATAGTTTAATCCAGTAATTATACGAGCGGCTCGCTTTTGTAATTTATAAAGTTTTTCCAAATTTGTTTTGTTTCCATCGTTCCAAACTGTCGAACAGTATGTAAAGTAAGGAACTACCAGGGAATTGTAAATACGGAGTAAGTCGTTGTAAGGTACGTGTGGTTTTGCCTTTCTAAGCAGAGCTATTGCACTTGAAAGTTTTTTGCATTGCTCATTAATGTGTTCAGTCCACCTTAGTTCGTTATCAATTGTGGTACTCCACATTGAACTGTTTCTTGGCCTGACTTGTTATTATTAATGACACAAACTTGTTTTCTGTTGTTTAAGTAAGATGCTAGTAATTTTAGAGGAGTACCCTTTATACCATATTGGTATAGCTTTTGTAGGAGAATAGAATGATCAACCGTGTCAAACGCTTTTTTAAGATCCAAAAATAGCACTCCATTTGCCATTCCTTTATCCATGTTAAGTAGCCATTGATCTGTACATTTTAATAGGGCAGTTTCTGTAGAATGATTTGGTCTAAAGCCAAATTGCTGTTTACAAATGATGTCGTTGTCATTGATATATGAACTTAATTGGTCGTATATAATCTTTTCAAGGATTTTGGCGACAGTAGGAATTACAGATATAGGCCGGTAGTTTCCGCATTCCGCCTTGTCACCTTCTTTATGAATAGGTATTATTTTAGCAAGTTTTAAATCATCTGGGAAAATGCCAGTGCCCAGTACAAGGTTAAAGATATGTAGTAAGGAGTCGTGAATGGCATCTCCTGCTAGTTTAATTAGTTTAATTGGTATTTTGTCTAGACCTGGGGCCTTGTTTAAGTTAGTTTTCCCAATTGTTTGAATTAATTCTGTCGTTGTTATTGTTCTTAAGTTAAATTCAGATCTACAAGGCTGAATAGGTTGTATAGGGTCTATGTCTGTAGGAGAAATAACGGAAGCAAGTTTGGGTCCAATTTCTACAAAGTAGTTATTAATTGTATTTGCTATGTTGATATCACCTGTAATATTTTGGTCTCCAAATTTAATGTTATTGATCGTCTGAGTTTTGACCGTTTTGTGGTTTAGCAGTTTGTTTATGTGAATCCAGTTTTCTTTGCAATTTTTGCTGTTTTCGAGATTGGTTCTAAAGTAGTGAGTTTTTGCATTGCTAATAAGTTTAGTTACTTTGTTTTTACATTTTTTGTATGAACTATGAAAGGCAGAGGAATTTAATATCTATTTATAACTTCCGATTTTTAAAATACAATTTTTTTACAATTTAATTTTGATTTTCTAAATTAAAATCTTTTTTTTAAATCTTTTCCGGTTTTTTTAAATTTTTATATTAGGGGCCATGATGGCAGGGGCCCACAACAAGTTCTTGTCGGCTCGCCCCAAGCTAAGCTAGCATGCCCCTTGATCAGAAAACAATGCCCTGCTCTGAGAAGATCTTAATTTAAAATACAGAATGTTTGGCTAAGCGGCGAAATCAATCAATAAATTGTAATAAATAATTGTAATAAATTTACGTGGTGTTTCCACCAACAAAACTATTATAAAAACACGACTGTTTTGGTTTGTGTAATGTTATGACGGCATTTGACCGTCCGTTCGAAAGGTTATTGTATGAGGATTTCAACGGTGATTTTTAGATATATCTGTCGTTGCAGCCAAGAAAGGTTTACATAAACTCGTACGTGGATGTTATAAAACATCTATTATTATCAGCTTTCTACACCATATATACTATTCTACTATTCTACACAATATATACTATTCATGAGACACACCGTATGAAACAGAATGAATGCTTACCATTTGGCAGACTTATTTGGAGATCTACTGAGAAAGAAGCTACCAACAACTTCTGTTGAATCTTTATGTTGTAAGTTGTGCATCTGACTACATGAAGTTTTACCATTTTGAACAGAAGATTGAAAATATTTGTGCTACATGAAGTTTTTATCTATTTACAATATGGCGAGTTGTTGAAAAGGTCCGGAGGACGAAACTGATTGTATTCAAATGTATGGTGTACAAAGCTGATAATACTTCAACGGTGGTTTTCGATTTAAAAGGGATTTTCAAGGCCGAGATTTTTTAAAATTAATCTTCCCCACTTCAAAGTCGGAAATGCAAGTATGAACCGGCCGAAAACGAGTTAAGGAATCTTTCACTAGCTGTCTTTGTGGCATTTTTCAAAGTAGCGCGAATAATAATAAATCTAACTGATCCAAATTTGTAAAAATAAATTAAGGACAATTTGCCCGCATCCATAGTTTGGCTAATTTGCATATTCAAAATTGACAAATTCCTGAAGAACGAAGCCAACCATGACAGTTAGGCTGGTATCTTAATTAACTGGTCAACATGAATTTTCTTTACGATGCCTTCCCAACAAAATTATGTGAAATTTCGTTACATTGAACCTAAAAGAGCATGAGAGAATTTCAAAGAGGGCAGACACCGCATCACCACATTTGCGCGACCACATCAGCTTTGCTGTAATTTCTATGGCGTGAAAATAGATGCTTTGACTGATTGATTGATTGATTGATTGATTGATTGATTGATTGTGACGGATTGTGAACTGCAACTTGTGAAGAGACTTTGTAATGATGAGTCAAATTATTACATGCACGATATCATAATGGGATTTCGAAGAGTTTTTCTAAGATTTGCGACTTCAGTTTCGTTCCTTAATCTGAGAAACTAATTTTCAGTATATTTAAGAAAGGCAAATTCAGGACTCTGAACTGAACTCAGTAAATGGTGGATATGAAACCTTGGTTTTTCTGCGTACATTTATTCTTGCTATCCACAAGAGTACATACAAAAGATTTATACCAAGATCGCATTGGAGCATCGTCGAAATTGGGGAGAGGCAACGCCATTAAAGGATCTAACAATGGCATACCTATATTTTGGCAGGAAATGGTATAGATGTACGAGCTATAACGCCTGTCAAAATTGCATGCATGCAGATAAGCCAATATTCTTCAACTTCTTAAATTTTCATCCTGTTTAATTAATTATACTGAATTTCCCGTGAAAATAAAACATATCATTCGCGCGTGTCGTATGTTTTTTTGTTTTTCGAATTACTACATTTTTCGAGAAGATATTGGGATACAAATTATAAAAATTGGCTATTTTTTACTAAAATTAGAAGAAAATGGCGGATTTTTTGAAATTTGAGTCATTATACATTCGCAAGGAATGATGGCATTTCGAAACTGACTTAAATTTTAAGATGCTCTTTGTCTGCTCTTCTAAGGGTATGCACGAAATCACCAATAACTTATTTTTAGTTTGTTGGCGCCAAGTTTGTGACGTAATTTATCCTCCAAAAATAGCAATTCCAAAAACAAAAAACATGCGATTTGTAAGACAAGATGAAAATTAATTAAAGAAGTTGAAGCATATTGGCGCCATTGCATGCATTTTTTTGACAGGCGTCGAGGTGGGTGTTGGGGGCTGCTGCCTCGATAAGTTGTGAAAATTTTCAAAGTAAGTTGGCAAAATGAAGGATAAAAGCCCTGTCGCATGCTTTTCATATTGTACTAAATTGAAGCAATTAAAGATTTCTTTCAATGTGTTTCTTTTTGCCGATTCCTACCGATCACATACACCTGATTATTAATTATTTATATATTTAAAAGTCAGTCACCTTTCAGCTACATATTGTACGTATGTCAATATAATCAAATAACTGCTTTCCATTGGGTTGTGCAATTGTTACACAGTATTTAGAACATTATATATAATGTAACTGAATACAATTAAAGGGAATAACTAAATTCAACACACTACATTACAGGTAATCTTCACACGGATAATTTAATTATTTAAGTGTTTTAATTACCACACGCTTTATAAATCCATTGTCTACACTATTCAGTGTCTACTGTCTACTCAATGTATAAACAATTTTTTCAGGGCATTAGATTTTGGTTCTGATAATTTTAATACCACCTTGATTTGATAATCATTGTAGGAAACTTGAAACATTTCAGTTATACATTTAGGGCTTTCTTTCTGAGTAGATCTGTGGCATGGTTTACAAAAGTCATGTACATAATTGCATTCTCGTCCGTTCATAGTTACTCCTCCCCTTCTTCGTTAATTGTTAGAAAAAACGTGTACACTGCACACAGGCACATTTTCCCATTGCCCGTGGGCATTGTAGATATTCGGGTATTAACACGAGTTGACCTGGCTGTCGCGTGACAAAATATGCGCTTCATGGCAGGTGGATTGTGGATCTCTGAACCCACATGAATGTTCAACTCCAATGTACAAAAGTAATCAAGTGCTAGAAGTACAAATCTTTTTTACCACTTTGAATGCCTCATTTCGCAACAATGGCCTCTTCTAGAAAAATATTATCGAATTTAAACTTGAATTTACAAGGGAAAGTGTTCCTCCTAACATCTTTAATGCGATGAAGTCGGCTCTTCCAACTTGATCTTGAAATAAAAAAACAACAGTTCCAGCCAAAAAACAAACACAAAAGCATACCACAGCAAGAAAACAGGATTTTGCAAGTTTGATTTCCATTATAAATTTGTGTTCATTTTGATTCTTTCCCGCAGTATTAGCATGGACATTCCCAGGAGGTTTTCGCGTTTTAATGGCTATAAAAATTTTAGTATACACAAATATAGCAAGGAGTAGAAATAGGAACACATAAATACTATGAAAGCCATCAAGCAACTGCGTCTTCAAAAGAGACAAAACAACAAACACACACTGTAAATTAAAAAGGGCTGAAACGACCCCAAAAATGGGGCCAAAACGGTGACCGCAAAATAGATCTTTTTTGGGGGTCAAAATGGCACCTATAACAATGCGGTCCCTAAGGGGTGATTTGGCCCTTCCAGTGTAAGGGCTGTTTCAGCTTTTAGTAGGAGCTGTTTTGGCAAAAGCAGGGGCTATTTCAACTTTCAATAGGGGCCAATTCAGAAAATTAGGGGGCTATTTT